CTGCATTCAAAATCCCATTCAATGGAGGTTCGTGTCATTTTATATAACGGCAACATTATATCGATTGATCCAAATAATACTCACAAAATAGATTCGGGTTATTGTCAATATTATCTTAAAAATACCAAAAAAAAGTATAAGATAATCGTAAGAAAATGCAAATTATACAACTTGCTTTTCTGAAAGGGAGAGCATTTACTTTTACCTTATTTGTGTAAACAAAACAATTTATACGATATCAGTGTTGATAACAAAAAGTTTCATAATCAATCTCATCTTATGCCAGTAGAAGTTATTCAATATATATAATTTTTAGCTGATTTCTTCAAGAGTTTGAACGTTGGAATATACATTTTTAATCTTCACATAGTCATTCTGGCAAAAAAAAATGAAAATAATAGAAAACTGTATAATGGTATATAATATTTCTTTTTGTAATTGTTTATATAACATACGCACCATATTTGTGCTGAGTAGAGGCAGTAGTCGACAACTAATTACATGAAATGGTGGCCGCATGGCCGGGTCTTCTTTTCCAACATTCCAACATTATTTTGTATCTAGTCATTTGAAAATAAAACAAACTGTCAAAAAATTATAAATAAAAAATAATCGTGCGAAATACAAAATTTAAATTACAAATCAAATAATAAATGGCAAATCTGAAAATTTATTTGAATATCTGAGATAATAAATATATGTGAAATTTACAGGCACTTCGGTCAAATGTATGCACATAGATACGAGTAAAGACAGAAATGCTAATGCCTGATAAATAATTCGTAAAAGAATAGTCAATTAAACTCAAATTTCACACAAGAGCACGTGTATAATTGTGTGATACAATTGTTTGCACGTATCTGTTGATCGACTTAATTACTTGATTACTAGCGAATGGTTGTGTTATGTCTTTAATCGTTTAGGCCTATGCGAGGTTCCGGACGGAAATTGGCTCAGTGATTTGGAACTAATTACGAGATAACCGCCGCTATTCGGACTACTATTTCTGACAGTTTGGTATTTGCAGTTATTAATGTAGTGAACAATTAATCAAAAGATATAACGTGTCCAGTACTTAGTGTGATTGGCTGTATGATTGAAGGTTACGCCCTAGAGTTTTTATACTGCTTTGTAATTGGTTAAGGTTTTGAAAGTGAATAAAATTGTTTTGAGTTGGTTTTGGCGAGTACACGAGGAGAATGCAGTCATGGGGAGATGCAGTCTAAGGCAGTCTTGAGACGCAGTCTTGGAGGCAGTCTTGAGACGCAGTCTTGGGCTAGACTTGGGCCAGCCTTGCGATAGTCTTGGGGACTTTTCCCCAGGGCGTTGTGTCTTATAGAGTGCTCGACTGACCGACTAAGACGAGAGTTGAAACGTATTTCGTTGTGTGTGTCTTATTTGACTGTAAAGTTTAAGTGACTTTCCCGATCCCGTATCTCAAGGGGACGAGATATAGAGACGAGACGAGATTTCCCCTGGCACGTGTGGAGAACCTCAGAGGAGAAGAATTTCCCCCTGATAATTGCAAAAAAAAAAAAAACAGAAAACAGGAAAATGTGTCATATTCACTCATAAATACAATGATATCACGTAAAATAAATTGATAATAACAAGAAACTATATTTACTATTGCACCGATTTAAATGTGTTTTTAAAATTTCAAGTTTTTTGTGATAGCATACACGTTCTTATTTCAGTATGTATCTTACTTTGGTTTATGTTTACTAAAGTATGATTGAAGTATATAATTACACTAACATGTGTTTGTCACAATGCAGTGGTTTCGGTATTCTATATCCACGTTGAAGCTCATGTGTCAACTCATTTGGTGACAATCCTGCATACGGCACGCATCCTATCAAATACAAAAAACGTAGACATTTGGTAAATTGTCATCATTAAATAGTACGATACTGCGAAAATATTCCTCTAATTAAATTACATTATATCGTCTGATGTAAGCAAGGTTTTGCCTAATCGTGACTTACCAAAACTAAATATTTCCCATAAAACAATTCCAAAAGACCACGTGTCCGACTTCGTTGTGTAGAAACAATCCAACAGTGACTCAAGAGCCATCCATCGCACCGGTAGACGTCCCTATCGACACAAATTAAGAAAAATAGAACAAACAAACAAAATGTATTGGACACACCAAAAATTGTTTAGTATTTATATAAAAATCAATGTTTACGTTATGGAATATACGAAATTGATATTTTAATATTCTATCGAGAATCAATATTGAGTTACTCACCCTAGTTTCCAGTTCAAATTCAGCCAAGGACATCACCGCTGTCGACAATCCTAAATCAGTGACTTTACATTCTTTGTTGTAGCCAATATAAATACTACGAGATGTCAGAGTCCGTAAAACTATCTGTAATGATGTAAAGTCAGCTCATTGACCAACGGAAAAGAAAACTCACATTAATAAATCAGGAATATTTAAACTCTATATTGAAACATACCTCTTCGCTTTCCAGGAAATCCATTCCATTTGCTATTTGCATACCATAGTTTATGAATTCCGTTTTCACATCCTGGCCACATATATCTCTGCTAGCATCAAATAAGGATGGGTCACGTGAGGACTGATAACTCGTAAGATATGTTTTCAAATCACCAAAAGGACATACTCCAGAATCAGACAAATGGGATCTGAAACCACATAAATAATGTGACAACTTCACAAATTGATTTTATTATATTTAATGTACCGGTAATGTAATTTAATGTAATGTAACGTAATTTACCTTTGACTCACAACAGCCAAGATACGTAGTTACGTTTGGGTGTTTGGATAATCTACGTAACACCTGATTTCATTGATCAGAAATTTCTTTGCTGCATTGTCATCCCTTTTTTCTTCTACAAATGCAATTATTAAA